TCATAAACAAATTAATGAATGAAAACAAAACCCGTGTTTTGCTCTCACATTTATCTGCTTCATACGATTAATTGTACTAAACCTTATCAAGATTTTGTTCACCTTTTCTTATTTGGAAAGAGTTCACGTTGATTGTTGACCTTTCATATTTAAGGAAAGGAAAAAAGAAAAGATCAGGTTGACCTTTTTTAAGGGAGAGGTAGAGCATTAAAAGAGGCGTAAAAAGGGAAAAACAAAGCAGAACTTCATGCCTAGAGTAAACAAGACAAGTTGACTCTTGTAATGCGTGAAACATCTGAGATTGGTAGGAAAATTTGTTGAAGAGCAGGATATCAGTTTGCTGGAGTCTGGTTCTTCTCTGTATTCTCTTGGTCTTGACTGCGTATAAATTAATGATTGCAGGCAACAGGACGAGGAGTTGGATGAGCTTAGTGCAAGTGTAGAGAGAATTGGTGGTGTTGGACTTACAATACATGATGAACTCGTTGCACAGGTAAGGAACTATCTAATGTTGCATTGTCGCTCCTTTTGATTTGCCACCCAATCTCTTTATCCAAAAGTAAGGCAGCCCCTACGATTTACTGTTCTGTTAATCTTTTGGTGAATATCAACATTGCTATTTAGGAAAAGAAAAGGAAAAGAGAGATGGATATTTCTGATTTATTTGACTGAGATGTAATGTCTTGCCTTTTCTCAGGAGAAAATTATAGATGGATTGGGCTTGGAAATGGACAGTACATCAAATCGTCTTGATTTTGTTCAGGTAATTTCCTTTCATCTTACCATGGTTGGATAAAAGGTTGTGCTGGTCCTTTTGTTTTACGGAGAATTTTAAAGTTAATATTTTTATTTTGTTGCAGAAAAAAGTGGCCATGGTCATGAAAAAAGCTGGAGCCAAAGGCCAGATTATGATGATTTTGTTTCTGGTGGTTCTGTTCATCATTCTATTTGTTCTTGTCTTCTTGACCTAGGATGTAGGAAGGAATCAGCATCATATATTCGTTCATGGGAGAAGGATATCTTTGGAGTAATCATGATACAAAATTACTGGTGTAATATATATGGATCTGTTGAATTTGTGGGATCTTAATTCTTCAAGTTTTCACCAATTTTTTGAACTTCACTGTAATTTTCCTTTTCTTTCAGATATTGAGTTGAGTTACAATATAAAGTCTGGGTTATTCGTATAGCTTCCATCATATTTGTATGTTTGGTATATTTTTTTGAGTAAAGTGGATGGTAAGATGCTACAAACTTTTAATATAATGATTTATGTAGGTAGCTTTCACCATTATTAGGCAATGGTTTTAAGCATTTTGTGATTATAATATTACTTTTATAGGGTCTGGGTAATCTGACTTTCTGAAAGTGATAATGTTTGATAAAAATTAGTTTTAAAAGTGCTTAATATAAAACGCAATATTAAAATGATGAAAAAATTTGTATAAAGGAAAAATAATAATTATTAAAAGTAAGTAAATAATAAATTGTTTTAGAGAAAACTATTTTAGTAATTTTAGTTATTTATTTAAAATTTAATTATTCGATTCTTTAATTGCAAATATTCTGTAATAAATATAATTACTATTAATAATAAATGACTAGCGTATTTTATTTAAGAAATACTAAATCACTTTGAAGAGAAAGTTGAGCATATTTACGGCAAGTCAAAAAGAAAAAAAGTAAAAAACGAATAAAACGCCGCGTTTTGTTAAACTGAGGCGAACCGACAAAAAGTTTTCCTGTTCAGAGAAGGATCAAATTTTTAAATCGTAAATCCCTCAATTTCCTCTTTAGAGGGGAATTTAGGCTTCCGAATTCCGAATTCCGAACCGAACAAGGAATCAAGCGTCTATAAATCAAGCCGAACTGAAGCAATGAACCACAAATTACTTCTCAGAAGCTCTTGTACTCTTGCTTTTCTACTCAAATCGAATCATTAATCCTCTACTTTCATCGACAACAGAGAAATAATCGAACCGATCCAACATGAATTCAGGCAACAATGGAAATCCATCTCTGTGCGCAGCGGGTTGCGG